AGCATGAATGCATGCCTGAGCCTGAGCATGTGTGTGCCTGTGGGGACATTAGGGAGATGGTGCTCGTGTGTGTGAGCATGAATGCATGCCTGAGCATGTGTGTGCCTGTGGGGACATTAGGGAGATGGTGCTCGTGTGTGTGAGCATGAATGCATGCCTGAGCCTGAGCATGTGTGTGCCTGTGGGGACATTAGGGAGATGGAGCTCGTGTGTGTGAGCATGAATGCATGCCTGAGCCTGAGCATGTGTGTGCCTGTGGGGACATTAGGGAGATGGAGCTCGTGTGTGTGAGCATGAATGCATGCCTGAGCATGTGTGTGCCTGTGGGGACATTAGGGAGATGGAGCTCGTGTGTGTGAGCATGAATGCATGCCTGAGCCTGAGCATGTGTGTGCCTGTGGGGACATTAGGGAGATGGAGCTCGTGTGTGTGAGCATGAATGCATGCCTGAGCCTGAGCATGTGTGTGCCTGTGGGGACATTAGGGAGATGGTGCTCGTGTGTGTGAGCATGAATGCATGCCTGAGCCTGAGCATGTGTGTGCCTGTGGGGACATTAGGGAGATGGTGCTCGTGTGTGTGAGCATGAATGCATGCCTGAGCCTGAGCATGTGTGTGCCTGTGGGGACATTAGGGAGATGGAGCTCGTGTGTGTGAGCATGAATGCATGCCTGAGCATGTGTGTGCCTGTGGGGACATTAGGGAGATGGAGCTCGTGTGTGTGAGCATGAATGCATGCCTGAGCATGTGTGTGCCTGTGGGGACATTAGGGAGATGGAGCTCGTGTGTGTGAGCATGAATGCATGCCTGAGCCTGAGCATGTGTGTGCCTGTGGGGACATTAGGGAGATGGTGCTCGTGTGTGTGAGCATGAATGCATGCCTGAGCCTGAGCATGTGTGTGCCTGTGAGGACATTAGGGAGATGGTGCTCGTGTGTGTGAGCATGAATGCATGCCTGAGCATGTGCATGCCTGTGGGGACATTAGGGAGATGGTGCTCGTGTGTGTGAGCATGAATGCATGCCTGAGCCTGAGCATGTGCGTGCCTGTGGGGACATTAGGGAGATGGAGCTCGTGTGTGTGAGCATGAATGCATGCCTGAGCCTGAGCATGTGTGTGCCTGTGGGGACATTAGGGAGATGGTGCTCGTGTGTGTGAGCATGAATGCATGCCTGAGCCTGAGCATGTGCGTGCCTGTGGGGACATTAGGGAGATGGTGCTCGTGTGTGTTAGCATGAATGCATGCCTGAGCCTGAGCATGTGTGTGCCTGTGGGGACATTAGGGAGATGGTGCTCGTGTGTGTGAGCATGAATGCATGCCTGAGCATGTGTGTGCCTGTGGGGACATCCTGTATGTCTGTGCATGTGTGTGCATGTGCCTGCAGGTGTAACTACAGATGTGCCTGCATTGTCTGTATGGGGTCTGTGCATAAGTGTGCCCGTGTGTGTCCCCGGGTAACTGTATGTGCCCACAGGGTTTGCAGGTGGGTCTGTGTGCACGTGGGCATGTGTGACCTTGTACAACTGTAACCCACACATGTGTGAGCACTGTGTCATGTGAGCCTGTGTGGTGTGTGTACACAGAGGTGTGCAAATTGTGCCCACGTGCCTGTGTATGTGGGCGCATGTGTGTGTCCACGTGTGGAGCATTCTGTGGCTTCAGACGGCTGTCTAGTCAAGGATGGTAGTGAGAGGGCTCAGGCTTCGTTCTGAGGGTGCTGATTATAAAACCTCACAAACGGGTGTTGCTTTTATTATTTGTGACTTGTCTGTTGAGATGGTCGTGTGATATTTCTCCTGTCGTCTGTGGGTCCGTCTTCTTGGGCGGCCATAACAGAATTCGGCACACTGGGCTGTAACAGCAGACCCGTCTCTCCTCCCACTTCTGGAGGTTGGAGTAGGCGACGGAAGTGTTAGCAGGGCCACTTTCTCCCGGGGCCTCTCTCTGCGGCTCACAGGCGGCCACCATCTCCCCGTCTGTCCCTCTGTGTGTGTCTGTGTCCTCTTCTTCCGCTTCCTGTGAGGACGCAGGTTAGACTGGATTAGAACCCACTCATACGACCTCATTTAGCCCTGATGACCTCTGTAGAGAGCCCAGACTTTCTTTTTGAGATGTCGTCTTACCGCGTATCCCAGCTCAGAGTGCAGTGGCGTCATGTCGGCTCACTGCGACCTCCACCTACCGGGCTCACCAATGCCTCAGCCTCCCGAGTAGCTGGAATCACAGGTGCCGTCACAATGCCCAGCAATTTTTTTTTTAAGACAGTTTTGCTCTTGTTGCCCGGGCTGGAGTGCAATGGCACAATCTTGGCTCACCGCAACCTCCACCTCCTGGGTTCAAGCGATTCTCCTGCCTCCGCCTCTCAAAGTAGCTGGGATTACAGCGAGTTGTAGCTGGGGTTGACAGAGACCTCTGCTTTGGACAGCAGGCCTGGGGCTGCCCTGGCTTGTCCACTGCTGCTCTCGGAGCTCCTGGGGCGAGGCGGCTGGGAAGCCCTGAGCGGGGTCTCCGCCTGCCTGAGCCCTGCTCCGAGCCGTGTGCATCTTTGCTGCAGGCCGAGGAGTCGGAGCCACCCTTTCCCCAGCCTTTCTCCTCTTAAGGGTTATAATAATTCATGGGAAACAGCCTTTTTATTGTTAGTATTAATACATTTATTATTAATTATTGTTAATCATTGCTAATTATGAATTATTTTTGAGACAGGATCTCTCCCCGTCACCAAGATTGGAGTGCAGTGGTGTGATCAGGCCTCACTGCAGCCTTGACCTCCAGGACTCAAATGATCCTCCTGCCTCAGCCTCCCAAAGTGCTGGGACTACAGGCCCGTGCCACGGCCCCCAGCCTCAACATAAAATGTAGCGTTCAGTTCACCGGCATTTAGTACATTCATAAGGTGGTGCAGACCCCACCTCTATCTGATTCCAAACCAATTTTTCCCCATCGCCCAAATCAGGCCCCTCCCTGTGAGTGGGCCCTCCCCACCCTGCCCTGCCCTGCCGGCCTCCCTCTGCTTGTCTCTCTGCAGCTGCACATTTCCTAGGTGTGGGATCATGCAGTGCGGGCCTTCTCTGTCTGCTTCCTCGGTGGTGTTGAAGGCAGGCTCCTGGCATGTCTTGGGAGTGGAAGTGAGGCTGACAGGAGTTGCTGAGCCTGCCTCGGAGCAGGACAGGCCGGCTAAGCGGGGCCCGCGGCGAGGGTTTCTCTAGACCCTGCTCTTGCCCACCTGTCCCCATACCCAGTCGTTATGTGTGATTCGTGGGTCAGGATCTGCACACGGCCACACCCAGACTCTCCGTCTCTGGAGAGTTTGACGGGAACTCCTGGGTGTGCATTCGTGTAGGCCTTGGCTGGGGCTCTTCTGGCTGCAGCCGCAGAGGTGACTGGTCTCCGCAGACATCATGCGTTTACAACACCGAGCTGGGCTCTGTCTCCCGGGTCACAGGTGGTGCAGAGGACAGGCTGTCTCAGGCCCCTGCAGCAAGAGGCCCCAGGGCCAGGCTTCCCTGCGCACCTGCCTCATGGGCAGCTCTGGGCAGCTCAGAAGGGATGACTGATACCCTGTGTGTGAGGAGTTGGTGCCCTCGTCCAGGACCCTTCCCCTCACCACCCCTGGCAGGCAGGCAGCCGGGTGAGGCATCCAGTGGGATCTCACCAAGGCCTCTCCGTGCTGGGTGGTGTATGTGGGGAGGAGGAGGATGGGAGCGCAGGAGGGAAGGCCCGGAGTGGGGAAGCTCCATCCTGCACCTGCTCCAGCCAGGGCCTGAGTAAACCTCGGCTTTGACCTGGGTGTCAGGCCCAGGCTGTCCCCCGCTTCCGGGACCACCTGCCTTTGGAGACTCAAATGACCCTCCTGCCTCAGCATCCTAAAGGGACCCCAGGCTGGGTCCCTCTTCCTAAGGGGCTGTGTCTGGGCCTGAGGGGCCTTCTCTGGGAGCCCCCCCATTGTACTCTTCACTGAAGCTGGGCACTCGTAAGGCCCTGCCTTAGCCCTGGGCATTTCCTGTCTGCTGAAGGCCCATGAGAGCGGCCATAGGCAGGATGCACGGGCCTCGGCCTTTCCTCCCCCGGGGTGAGGGTTGGGGGCAGAGCTGGTGGAGCCAGGCAAGGCTGTGGCCAGTGGCCCTCAGGACGGACGTGTCCCTCATTGCTCTCTTGCCAGGCCTCCAGGGCACAGTGCAGGCCCAGGACTGACTCAGGCCACCCTAGACTGGTACCGAGGCCGGAGGCTCCGCTTTCCCTGGCAGCCTGGCGAGGTGAGCTGCCTGGTGGTCCGGCCTGGCCTGAGGCTCTGCCCGCAGTTCCCCCGGAGGCCGCTGGGTGGCAGCAGAGATTGCCTCTCGGTGGTGGCCGCAGCCTCAGCCTTGCTCTGTGGGCCCCGGAGTGCAGACCCCCGGGTCTCGGGTGCAGTGAGGACGGGCTCCCTCCGCCATGGGTGCCGCCCGCTCCAGTCCCCAGGGACCCTGCTCCTTCCGCTTCCCAGCTGGACTGGGCGAGGTATCCGCCTGGAGGGGATCCAGGTGCTGCACATCCTGGGTGGCCGTGGTGGGACGAGAACGCCATGGCCCCGGCCCCCTGGAGACCACGCCATCACGGGGCACTGTCACGGACTGAAGGCACGCGGGCCCCAGGGGAGAATGGACTCACACTCCCGCGCTACAAGGCCAAGCCCCTTATCTTGGGCTGTGGTAGGGGACCCTGCAGTGGGTGAAGCCCTGGGAGTCTTAGTGCAGCTGTTCCCCTCCCCTGTGACACCCTCCATATCAGGTGCACCCCTCCCCCCATGCCACCCTCCCCAGTGTCACCCTCCCCACGCAGGTGTGCCCTTCCCCCCGTGCCATCCTCTCCACCCAGGTGTTCACCCTCCCCCATGTCACCCTCCTGTCCAGGTACTCGAGGGGTGTCTGTGGAATCCTCTACCCCTTATCGCCGAGTGCTGCAGTTGACAGGTGGACCCTGATGGGTGGGTGGGACCTGGCTGAGGGTGTCCAGCTCACAAACAGAGCCTGTCTCTCCCAGAGTCACTTGTGGTGGGTGGGAGGCTCACGGGAGCCCCAGGCCCCCTGCATGACCTCAGGAGGGGCTGCTGGCTGAGTGGAGACCCCCAGGTGGGGCTGCTGCTGGGACCAGCACCAGAGGGACAAGGGTGACGGAGGGAGGCAGTGGGACCATCTGGCCCTGGGTTCCTCCCTCCCTTCCCCTCCAGGCCTCAGCTGCAGCTCTTGGCCACTGGGCCCCCGTGTGGACACTGTCTCTGATCAGGCCCAGGTAGGATGGGAGGCCTCGGGCCACTGGGTGCCGCAGCTCTCCACCAGGCTGTGGGGAGCGGTCTGCCTGGAGGGGTGTGCAGAGGAGCTGTGGCTGGGTGGGCTCCAGGCATGGGGCTGGGTGTGTGTGGCACCTCAGGGTCCCTCTGTCTGAGGCTCCCGAGTGAGCAGCTCTGCAGTACTGGAGTGGCTGCGGTCAGTACGCGTTCTGGGAGGTGAGTGCATGGGTCACAGTTCATGGCTGGTCTGTCGCCCGAGGGTGTAAGCTGCTCAGGGGCACAGAAGCACCAGCCGAATGGCCGCTGTGGCCTCAGCAGGACCAGGCCCTGTCCGAGCAGTCTGGGTGGCTTGGAGTCAAAGGGTGGTGGTGGCACTCCCTCCTCCTGCTGGGGCGGGCCCTGAATGCCCAGTGCTGGGGCTGGTGGGGACCTGGGTGGCCCAGGGAGGCTGTGTGTCAGGCTGCAAGGGCGAGCTGGACGGCTTCCCGGGGGCCGACCTTCTGGGGCACCAGAGCGAAGCCCCACCCTTCTCCTGCCCTTTGTGCACTTGGCCACACTTGGTCCCGTGGCTCTGGCTGGCCTCACTGGGCCCATGGTGGTCACTGTGCCAAGCTTCAGTCTGTCCTGTCCCACAGCCCTTGCCCTCGGCAGCCTCCAGGCCAGGCCCCCATCCTCTTCACCTGGAGGCCTGGGGGACGGCTGGCCCCTTCCCACTTACAGGCCACTGAGCCTGTGACTGAGCTCTGGCCAGTGGGTAGGTTTGTGATGGAGACTCAGGGCTGTGTGTTGGCACTGCCAGGCTGAGTCCCTGGGCCCAGGGCATGGCCGTGGCGGAGAGTCTACACTGCCCTGGTCCTCCCCGGGTCCCCCACTGGGTCTTGTGATGCAAGTCTTCCTGTTCGGCTGTGAGTCTGGCGGCCTCTGGTCTGAGTCAGGCTCCCTGGCTCCGCTGTCTGGGTCAGCTGCTGCTCTGAGATGCTGTGGAAGGAGAGCCCGGCTGGGTGGCTCCTGACGGCCGCCGTCTGTTTCTGCCCCGTGCAGCTGCGGCCACCTGGGCTCCGTGGGCCTTGGTGCCTGGCTCGAGGTCAGTTCTGGCCTGACCCCTATCTCCTCCTTCTGGCCTCTGGCTTGCTCTGCTCCTGGCATGGGCAGAGCATAGGACACAGCTCTGTGCTCAGCACAACTCATGCCCCAGCAGGCATGGCTCAGAGCCTGGAGTTGGGGCAGGAAGAACACACCAGCCGCCTTCTGGAAGGCTCTGCGGGGTATCTTGTGTAGCGTTCTGACGGGTGGGCCCAGAGGAAGGAGTCGGGAGCCCAGATCCCACCCAATGAACCTGCCTCTGGGGTCCCTGGACAGCTCCTGGCTGCCCAGACATGACCCGTGGCGGCCAGGGTGGTGGCTTCAGCCTCCCTCAAGGCTCCACCTGGTGTGGCTCCTGACCACAGGGTGGGAACACGGGCCCTTCTGCTGCCTCTCAGGGCTTGGCCCTTGGGTCCTATAGTGATTCTTCCAGGAGGGCCTCCTGGGGGAGCCTGCAGTGCACCCGAGTGTCAGCATCTGGGACCGAATTCCAGGTGCCTTCTCGGCCAGACCTGCAGTGCAGCTGTGCCTGCTGTGGGGGGGTGGAGGTGGGCAGAGGAGGGGTGCGGGCTCCTGTGCCCTCACCTTGGTGAGTGTGGAGGGCTCTGTTATTGCCTTTGAGTATGTAAATGTCTCCCAGCGGGGCTGCGTGGGACTCTTCCACCAGGTTTTGCCTGGAATGGGGGCCCTGGGGGCCCTGCCCTGTCGCCCCTGCTGTCCTTCTGGCCCTTGCTCCTGTCTCTCTGGCTCCTGGATGACCTGTCAGCCTCTGCATTGTCACTTTGGGGTTTGGAGGGATCACAGCGCTTTCTGCCTGAGGCACCACTGCCCCCCTCAGAGCCTCAGTTTCTCCACTGTGAGGCAGGGGCACCTGTGTCTCCCTTGACGCAGAGCCTGACCTGGGGGCATCCCTAGTGAATCCCGCGCCCAGCCCCTGCCCCCCGCCTGCCTTGGGCCCTGCGGTGTCCTGGGCGGTGGACATGGCCACCATGTCACAGACATGATGAGGCCCAGGGGCCTGAGTCAGTGGCTGCCCACACTCATGCCACAGTGCCAGCCCTCCCTGATCCACTGAGCAAGGGGCTTTTCTGCAGCTGCGTGGCGGTCACTTGGCCAGGAGTGGTCTCTGCAGGCGACACAGCGGGAGCAGGACAGGCCACTCACAGCCAGCCAGGAACTGTGGGACGGAATCTCAGGCCTCATACCCGCCCCAGGCAGGCACGGCCCCTGGGCCCTCAGGTAAGCCCCAGGTCCCCGGGGAGACTTGGCCCCATCTCCTGGCCCGGGGGCTGTGCCCAGCCGGGCACCCACTTCTCCTCCCCGCCTGCCAGAGAGGGAGCCCATCAACGCCACCCTCCTCAACTTTTGTCTCCTCCCCAATTAATTAATTTAAATTGACCATTAAGTCAGCCGAGTTTTTGATTGATATTTTCATTAGCAGCCCTGTCCGACGCCCCGGGGATGTATGGTAACGTCCGACCTGCAGCGGCCGTACTCCTCCGCAGGCTGAGTTATGGCTGGCACCGCGCGGCTCCTGGGCTAATTTGAATTCAGATGAGCTGACGCCGTGTTCCCGAGCAGGCGGCTGGCCGCTGACGGATGGCACTTGGGTTACTGCAAGGTCACCGTGCAGCCGCCACCCACCGCAGGAGGGGCCAGCTAGGTGGCCGGGGAAGGTGGGCAGCTCCGAAGCAGGTGGCTGGGTGGGCTCCCAAGAACTGTCCAGCCGGTGGCCATCTGGTGGAAGCACGGGCGAGCCCTGGGGCCTGTGGCCAAGCCTCACAGCCACTGTCCCTGGGGGCTTGGAAATCCACCTCTGCTTGAGGCCACCACAGCCTCCTCTGCTGGGGCCACAGTGGGGGCAGGGCAGGGGCGGTGGCAGGAGCCTGGCCTCTTCGTGGGGAAGGCGCTGACCAGGACGGAGTGCTGCCTTTCACCCAGGGGGAGCTTGGGCCCGCCTCAGGATCCACCTGCAGCTGGACGTAGCCTCCTCTACAGCCGATGTCCCTGTCCTGGGGCCGGCACGCCAGGGCCCTGGCCATGGGCCGTCAGAGGGCTGGGCCTGCTGTACTCTCTGCTGTTCAGCATGGTCACTGGATGCTAGGCTGGTGGCCACAGCGGGAGGCATGAAGCTTCAGGCGCTGCTCTCAGCTGCGTGATGTGGGGGTGGCTTCTTCGCCTGTGCCTCGGTTTCCCTATGCACAAGACAGCGATTCCTTGGTGCCTCCACCTGTGGTTTAGGGAGGGACACGCAGGCCAGCCCAGGCAAATCGTGCAGTTTGTGCTGCGCACGTGCGTGTGGCCTCTCCTTCCCCCGGTGCTGCCCAGCCCCAGAGAGAGGCAGCAGGGTGGCTGCTGCTGGCCTCGGGCCTGGTGGGGGCTTCGGGAGACCCTTGGAGGGCTTGGAAATGTGGCCCCTGAGTGTGAGGGTGGCAGAGATGGCTGCAGGCAGGACTGGACTCCAGCCTGGGCCAAGCCGAACAGCTGCTGCTTCTGACCTCCCTACCCGCAGGAGCCAGCCCAGAGAGAGGCCTGCCCTCCCCTCGACCCCCAAACGGGCATGCAGGCCCAGAGACCCTGCCCCTCCACCCGTGTGTGTGTCTGAGGCCATTTAAAGTGGGCACTGGGGACCGGCTGTACTGCCGGCCATGGGGCAGAGGGGGTCCCTCGGCGCAGTGCCCTGGGGGGAGGGGAAGCCCAGTGGAAGAAGGTCATGGGAGAGGCTGTGGGGCGATGGCTGGGCTGGGAGCCGGAGGGCCACAACGGAGTCCCCAGGGCCACAATGGAGTCCTCAGGGAAGGTGCCTGCCCCAGCCAGATCCTTCAGCCTGGGGGCCTGTGCAGTGACTTTCAGGGAAGGAGCCACCTTTGTTCCGTCCGTGTTGTCACCCCACCGTGGGGGATGCGCGCTGAGGCTGGCGTCCTCACGGTGACGGCACCCCGACTGGCTAACTGATTGTGAACGGGGTTGGCGGGCTGAAAGTTCTGGAGGCTGGGAAGTCCCAGATTGTGGGGCTGCATCTGGTGAGGGCCCCTTGCTGTGCCATCAGGTGGCCCAGGGCAGAGGGGAAGGGGGAAGGCAAGAGAGCAGGTGGGGCTGGAACCGCCCTTGAATACGGCCCCACCCACGAGGCGGTGGCATCCATCCGTTCACGTTCACAAGTGCGGAGCCCTGAGACCCCAACACTTCCCAGGAGGTTCCCCACTTCCCGCACCACCACAGCGGGGATCAGGTTTCCAACACATGAGCCTCCGGAAACACGTTCACGCCACAGTGGGTGGGAGCCCCGTGGCAGCAGGGATACTCCCCACACAGTGCCAGGGATGGCATGGGGACAGATGTTCAGCATGCTGAGTGTGACCTGCTAGTTCCTGCAGACCCAGGCTGGGGTCTCAGAGCTGGAGAGGGCAGGGACCCTGTAACAGCCTTGGGTGCTGGGACCACCCCAGTCTGGTGGGAGGGGCTGGCGCTGCCTCAGCATCCTGGGCCAGGACTTGGTAGAGCTAATCCTGATCCCCTCACCATCTTCTCTCCCTGCTGTGCAGCCTGGTCCGCCCACCTCAAGCTGCCGGGCCCCACCTCCCAGTCTTACTGGCCGTGGAGTGTGGCCACGTGACTTTCTGTCTGATGAGATGTGAGTGACAGTGTTGGGCAGGACTTTCAGAAGACCCCTTAAAAGCAGCTGTCACCATGCCAGCTAATTTTTGTATTTATAGTAGAGGTGGGATTTCACCATGTTGGCCAGGCTGGTCTCAAACTCTTCACCTTGTGATCTGCTGGCCTCAGCCTCCCAAAGTGCTGGGATTACAGGCGTGAGCCACCGAACCTGGCTTAGATGACATTTTTTAAAGCATGGACTTGTTTTTCTTTCTTTCTTTCTTTTTTGAGACAGAATCTTGCTCTGTCACCCAGGCTGGAGTGCAGTGGCACAATCTCAGCTCACTGCAGCCTCTGCCTCCCAGGTTCAAGTGATTCTCCTGCCTCAGCCTCCCGAGTAGCTGGGATTCCAGGCACGCACCACACTCAGCTAGGTTTTGTATTTTCAGTAGAGGCAGGCTTTTGCCACATTGGCCAGGGTAGTCTCGAACTCCTGACCTCAGGTGACCCACCTGCCTTGGCCTCCCAAAGTGCTGGGAATCCAGGCATGAAGCACTGTGTCCAGCCAACTTGTTTTTTAATAAAGTGTAAGGAAATGTGGAGACCATGAGACGAGAGATGAAGAGATGAGAGCGTAGATGATCACAGGGCAGATGAGATGAGGCAGACGCAGGGGCCAGACGTGCGCAGGGCAGGCCTGGGTGTTCGGGCCTGTGAGCTCCTGTTCCTGCCAGGGCACCGAGTGGCACAGATGCAGCTCTCATGCCCGGCAGAGCTCAGATCTGCAGTAATGACAGAGTGCGAGGCCAGTGCCTGGAGCGTGCGTCACAGATGCTGGACACGTGAGGCTGGGTGGTCTCAGGAGCCCCGGGTGGTGAAGGCCTGAGAAGCAGCTAATTGCAGGGTCTAGACGCACGGTCAGGCCGGAGCCCGGCGCAGGGGGGCGAGGCAGCTTGGAGGAGACTGCCGGTGTCCGCAGGTGCGGGAGGCTGGGAACAGGGCGGGAAGGCTGGCCAGCCTCGAAGTGGGCCAACCCCAGAGATGCTGAGCTGGGCACCGGAGGAAGCCCAGGCCCTGCCTGCCACACCCTCCCCTTGTGCCCCCAGCTGGCCCTGGCCTCTGCCCTCCGCCTTGCCTGCCCTGGTGAGGCTGGGTCAGTGGCCGCCCTGGTGGTGCCTCCATTTCCCTCTCCAGCTCCGTGTATGCTCAGCCCGGGGCAGGGGTGAGAGGCCATGAGGTGGGATCCTGCAGCCCAGCCTCTGCTGTGGCTACAAAGTTCAGTGACTCATTAGTGGCCTGCTTTGCTGGGAAGGCGTCGGAGCTCAGGGAGGATGGGGTGAGCAGTGGGGCCCCCGGGCCTGCCTGTCTTTGACGCCAGGAGGAAGAGAGCTCAGGCCGTGAGGTGGGCGGCTCTGGCATGGGTGCTCAGTGGACCCCCAGCTCTCAGCTGCAGGTGCCTCTGTGGCATCCCCTCCCCCTCTGGCTTGCAGTGTGGAGCAGCGTTGCTGGGTTTTGGGTACAGGTTCATGTGTTTCCGTGCTGTGTTCACTGAGGTGAGCTGTGGCTGCTGCAGATAAACCCTGAGCCCTCGGGAGCCCATGGACGCCTCAGCCCAGCCCAGTGAGAGGGTTGTGGGCTGGGGGCAGGGAGTTGGGGCTGGCTCATCCTGTGTGGTGGCAGTGTTCCCTTTTGGGGTGGTGCTGGAATTGCACACACAGGCCCTCGTGGCTGGTTCTGTGGTTGGGTCCATTTTCCTGCCCACACCCCATGGCCTGGGAGGCTGGCAGCATGGAGTTGCTTCGGCCCGGGGGGAGGGGCGTCTTTGGTGGCCACAGCCACGAGCCCCAGTCCACCTCTCCGGCTGCCAAACAGCCTCCACTCCCATCTTCCTTCCCCAGGGGAGCCAGCCCAGAGCCGCCGTCCCCATGCGGCTCCCAGCCCACACTTCCAGGTGGGCACGGCAGGGCCAGGAGATCCTGGCCCCCCTCCCTGTTGGCATGTCCGGTGCTGTCTGAAGGGGACGAGGGGCCAGGCTGTGCTGCCAGCCCACTTCCCATGCAGGGACATTTGGGCCTGGAGCTGTGGTTAGGCCCCACCAGTTACTGGTGCTCCAGCCCGGGCCTAGTTTTCCTGGGATTCTGGCCGGCTCCTTGCCCATTCTCTCACCTGCCCACCCTCAGGCCATCCCCATTGAGGGTGGCCACCTGGAGGCCACAGCCTGGACGCACCCCCACCGTGATTGGCCTTCAGGCTCAAGGCTAGCCTTACTGTGTGTCTGCGAGGCAGCACCTGTCCTCTTCTTCCCCAAGAGGCAGCGCTCACCTGCCCCGTCTTCCTTCCAGGTTGCCTCACGGACTGTTTGCTGTGACGTAGCACAGCCCTCTGTCTTCCCACCTTCGGGGTGTCTCAGTTGTCTGCTCACTGGTTGGCTCCATGCCGAGCAGACTCGACGCACGTCAGTGCTGGCTGTGGTGGCACCATCGCAGTGACCTCCCTCTTGGTGAAGGGGGTTCTGCTGTTCCCAGGAAGCTGCTGACTGCTCCTGGGTGTGCCTGACATGCAGCTGCTCTCTTCGAGGGGTGGGCACGGGCACCCTCAGGCCTGAGGCTCTGCCGTCCTCACTGCTGAAAGAGAAGTGTCAACCCAGAATGCTATACCCAGTGAGAAGACTGTTCAGAAATGAAAGGGGCATCAAGACGTTCTCGGATGAAGGAAAACCAAGTGCGTTTGTCACTGGTGGACCTTCCCCAGAAGAGTGGCTAAGCAAGGTCTCGAGGCAGAAATGCAAACAATGGAAGAGAAAACCGTGGAACGTCGGTAAGGAAGAAAGAACACGCAGAATTAGGGGTGAATGTAACAGGTTTCCTTCTCCTTGCGAGTTTTCTAAATCAGGATACTGATTGATGTGATTCTCGATAAATGCAAAGATGTTTATGGCGTGTTGTAGATGGGAGAACTAAAGGACCCTAGGAGGGGAGGCTTCGACTCTCCCTTAAACTGGTGGAACGCCGACATCGGTGAACCGTCGTGAGCCACGTGTAAGTGACAACCTGGAGCAGCAACTGAAACAGGGTGTGAAGAGATACACTCAAAACACCACCAATAACCCAACAAACGATCCCACGCCATGAAGACACTCTCCTGTTTGCTGAAGCTAATTAAAATGGAGACTGAGTCTAAAAGATCCTGAGCAGACACATCCTCATAGGACTCATGAGTGATGGCAGTCTTGCTTCATTTGCAAATATAAGTGAAACTTTTTTTTTTTTTTGAGACGGAGTTTCACTCTGTCACCCAGGCTGGAGTGCAATGTCACGATCTTGGCTCACCACGACCTCTGCCTTGCAGGTTCAAGCAATTCTCCTGCCTCAGCCCACGCCCGGCTAAGGGGTTTCTCCATGTTGGTCAGGCTGGTTTTGAACTCCTGACCTCAGGTGATCCGCCTGCCTCGGCCTCCCAAAGAGCTGGGATTACAGGCAGGAGCCACTGTGCCCGGCTGAAACCTTTTTTTTTTAAATTTTAGGATGGAGTCTCAGTCTGTCATCTGAAGTGCGGTGGGGTATATGGCTGCGGTGCAGTGGCGTGATCTCGGCTCACCGCAACCTCTGCCTCCCGGGTTCAAGTGATTCTCCTGCCTCAGTCTCCTTGGTAGTGGGGACAACAGGCATGTGCCACCATACCTGGCTAATTTTTATGTTTTTTTTTTTTTTGTGGAGACGGGGTTTCAATGTGTTGGCAGGGCTGGTCTTGAACCCCTGCCTTCAAGTGATCCACCTGCCTCGGACTCCCAAAGCGCCGGGATTACAGGCATGAGCCACCACAACCCGCCCATAAGTGAAACTTAACTTGAGCCTACAGTGGGACAGAGCAGATCAGGGAACAGGGTGTCACCATCCACTTTGGTTTCCTTCTGCGCCCGTCTTCTCAAAGCCTCCACCTGCATTCCCTCCTCGGAGCTCTTGAACCTCTTCTGGTTTGCAGCTGCTCTATTCAAAGAATGTATTTGCTCAAATAAACTCTTTATAATTTCATTTTGCCTTTTAGGTTTGGGTCTGTGATCCACCTTGAATTAATCTTGGGGTGTGTTATGAAGCAGGAGTTGGGGCTCATTTCTTCCCACCTAGGTATGGAGTCGTCCCAACACCGTCTTTGAAGACTGTCCTTCCCCCGTTAAAGAGCATTGCTGTCTTCTCAAAAATGATTAGATTTTATTTTTGACACACAATCACACAGAAGTAGGTTTCTGGATTGTGTGTTTCGTTCTGCTGGTCCGTTGGTCTGTCTGCATCACACTCTTGATTACTGTAGTTTTATAGGAAGTCTTGGAGTCAGGTGGGGTTAGTGCTCCAACTTTTTTCCTCCCTTTCCGAAATGTTAGGCCGTTCTAGAATTTCTGCGTTTCTACATCTAGGAACCCAGCAAGTTTTTTTTTTTTTAAAAGGCTGTTGGTGGTTTGACTGGGATTGTGTTAAATCCATATGCTAATTTCGGGGAGGATTTCCATCTTAACGCCATTGAGTTTCTCAATCCACGAACGCGGTCCTCGTTCCCATTTCCCTGTCTTCTTGAATTCTCTCAATTATCAGCAGAGGGGTTTTGCACCTTTTTTTTGGAGGCAGAGTCTCACTCCGTTGCCCAGACTGGAGTGCAATGGTGCCATCTCAGCTCACTGCAACCTCCGCCTCCCGGGTTCAAGTGATTCTCCTGCCTCAGCCTCCCATGTAGCTGGGATCACAGGCATGCACCGCCACACCCGGCTATCTTTTTGTATTTTCAGTGGAGACGGGGTTTCACTATGCTGGCCAGGCTGGTCTCAAACTCCTGACCCCAGGTGATCCACTTGCTTCAGCCTCCCAAAGTGCTGGGATTGCAGGAGTGAGCCTGGCCTTTGCACATGTTTGGTTAGATGCGTTCCCAGGTCTTTTATTTTTGGGTGCTCATTTTAAAGGTTTAATTTCTTTTCATTTCCTAAGTGTTCACTACGAGCTCATAGAAATGAAACTGATTTTTGTATATCGACCTTGCATCCCGTGGCCTTGCTAAATACAGTGGCTGTTTTGTGGATTCCTCAGTCGCCTATCACTGCATTACAAATTAGCCCCCTCGTTTGCCTCAAACCACAGCGATTATGACCCCATTTCCCAGGTCAGGGATCTGCATGTGGCTTAGCAGGGCCCTGGCTCAGGGTTCGTGGGGTGGAGTCCCGCTGTGGGTCTCGTCTGAAGAGCATTCCCAGCAGGGGCTCAGGCAGGGGCCCAGGAGGGACGGGTGACTGGCTCCCCCTCCTCCACCGCCTGTCCCCTAGTGTGGGTGCCCCTCACCTGTCCCTCCTTGTGGCTTGGCTCCCGAATCACCCAGCCTGGGGGGCACCAGCTTGCTTGGCCCCTCTAGATGGCCTTTGGGCTTGGAAGGGAGGGACGAAGCCTCCCCACTTCCAACTCTGGCTGTGGGGACCCGAGTGGCCGCTCCTGGGCTCCTGACACTGTTCGCTGGCAGCGCTGGAGCTGCTGTGATTGTTGTGATTTGCTTTGTTTTTTTATTTTGTGGTTTTCTTTTGTGTGTGGTTTTGCATCTCACGTGGCTCCGTGGTCTCCCTTGCCGGGCCGCCCCTCCGTCTTGCCATTGTCTTGGTGTCCTGCACGAGAACTTGCTTACTGCATCCCACATCCCCATCCTCCCTTCCTGGAATCCCAGAATCTCTCGTGCTGTGGCTGGACCGGTGGCCTGGCCCCATGGTTGGGGCTGGGAGGCTGGCCAGGGCCTGGGCCTGTGCGGTGGGCTGGTCAGCCTGGGGCCAAGCACCCCAGGGGTGATGACAGGCAGGGGCTCCCAGCAGCTGTCCCTCGAGCTGTGGCAGGCTGGTCTCTGTTGAAACATCGCCACCCACAGCCCTGCCCAGCCCTGCCTAACGTGGCTATGCTAAGTCTTTGTAGCGTCGTGGCTTTTGAGAAAAGTGCGTGGCCCTGCATCTGTGGTGCAGCTGATCCCTCGTTCAGATCCCGCATTTGCACATTGGCCTCCTTGGTAAAGTGGCAACCCCCGAATCAATACCTGTGGTGCTTTCACCGTCATTCGTAGACACGTGAGGAGCAGCAGCCAGGGGAGGTGGGCGTGCCGTGTCCTGTCTTCCATGTGTGCCCAGGGGAGGTGGGCATGGCTGTGCCCTGTCTTCCATGTGTGCCAGGGGAGGTGGGTGTGCCCGTGTCCTGTCTTCCATGTGTGCCAGGGGAGGTGGGCATGCCCATGTCCTGTCTTCCATGTGTGCCAGGGGAGGTGGGCATGGCTGTGCCCTGTCTTCCATGTGTGCCAGGGGAGGTGGGTGTGCTCGTGTCCTGTCTTCCATGTGTGCCAGGGGAGGTGGGCGTGCCCGTGTCCTGTCTTCCATGTGTGCCAGGGGAGGTGGGCATGCCCATGTCCTGTCTTCCATGTGTGCCAGGGGAGGTGGGCAAGGCTGTGCCATCTTCCATGTGTGCCAGGGGAGGTGGGTGTGCCCATGTTCTGTCTTCCATGTGTGCCAGGGGAGGTGGGCGTGCCGTGTCCTATCTTCCGTGTGTGCCAGGGGAGGTGGGCGTGCCCGTGTCCTGTCTTCTGTGTGTGCCAGGGGAGGTGGGCATGCCATGCCCTGTCTTCCATGTGTGCCAGGGGAGGTGGGCATGCCCATGTCCTGTCTTCCATATGTGCCAGGGGAGGTGGGCGTGCCATGTCCTGTCTTCTGTGTGTGCCAGGGGAGGTGGGCATGCCATGCCCTGTCTTCCATGTGTGCCAGGGGAGGTGGGTGTGCTGTGTCTGTCTTCCGTGTGTGCCAGGGGAGGTGGGCGTGCCCGTGTCCTGTCTTCCATGTGTGCCAGGGGAGGTGGGTGTGCTGTGTCCTGTCTTCCGTGTGTGCCAGGGGAGGTGGGCATGCCCGTGTCCTGTCTTCCATGTGTGCCAGGGGAGGTGGGCATGCCCATGTCCTGTCTTCCATATGTGCCAGGGGAGGTGGGCGTGCCATGTCCTGTCTTCTGTGTGTGCCAGGGGAGGTGGGCATGCCATGCCCTGTCTTCTGTGTGTGCCAGGGGAGGTGGGCATGCCGTGTCCTGTCTTCTGTGTGTGCCAGGGGAGGTGGGCATGCCGTGTCCTGTTTTCCGTGTGTGCCAGGGGAGGTGGGCATGCCGTGCCCTGTCTTCTGTGTGTGCCAGGGGAGGTGGGCGTGCCGTGTCCTGTCTTCTGTGTGTGCCAGGGGAGGTGGGCGTGCTGTGTCCTGTCTTCTGTGTGTGCCAGGGGAGGTGGGCATGCCATGCCCTGTCTTCACGTGTGCCAGGGGAGGTGGGCGTGCCGTGTCCTGTCTTCTGTGTGTGCCAGGGGAGGTGGGCGTGCTGTGTCCTGTCTTCTGTGTGTGCCAGGGGAGGTGGGCATGCCATGCCCTGTCTTCACGTGTGCCAGGGGAGGTGGGCATGCCATGCCCTGTCTTCTGTGTGTGCCAGAGGAGGTGGGCATGCCATGCCCTGTCTTCACGTGTGCCAGGGGAGGTGGGCATGCCATGCCCTGTCTTCTGTGTGTGTCCAGGGGAGGTGGGCATACCATGCCCTGTCTTCATGTGTGCCAGGGGAGGTGGGCATGCCGTGCCCTGTCTTCATGTGTGCCCAGGGGAGGTGGGAATGCCATGCCCTGTCTTCTGTGTGTGCCAGGGGAGGTGGGCGTGCCATGTTCTGTCTTCCATATGTGCCAGGGGAGGTGGGCATGCCCGTGTCCTGTCTTCTGTGTGTGCCCAGGGGAGGTGGGCGTGGCTGTGCCCTGTCTTCCATGTGTGCCAGGGGAGGTGGACATGCCATGCCCTGTCTGTGTGTGCCCAGGGGAGGTGGTCATGCCGTGCCCTGTCTTCTGTGTGTGCCAGGGGAGGTGGGCATGCCCGTGTCCTGTCTTCTGTGTGTGCCCAGGGGAGGTGGGCGTGCCGTGTCCTGTCTTCCATGTGTGCCAGGGGAGGTGGGTGTGGCTATGTCCTCTCTTCTGTGTGTGCCAGGGGAGGTAGGTGTGCCTGTGTCCAGTCTTCCCTGTGTGTCCAGGGGAGGTGGGCGTGCCCGTGTCCTGTCTTCCATGTGTGTGCCAGGGGAGGTGGGCGTGCCGTGTCCTGTCTTCCATGTGTGCCAGGGGAGGTGAGCGTGGCTGTGCCCTGTCTTCCATGTGTGCCAGGGGAGGTGGGTGTGGCCATGTCCTCTCTTCTGTGTGTGCCAGGGGAGGTAGGTGTGCCTGTGTCCAGTCTTCCCTGTGTGTCCAGGGGAGGTGGGTGTGCCGGTGTCCTGTCTTTCATGTGTGTGCCAGGGGAGGTGGGTGCGCCCATGTCCTGTCTTCCTTGTGCCCAGGGGAGGTGGGTGTGCCTGTGTCCTGTCTTCCATGTGTGCCCAGGGGAGGTGGGTGTGCCTGTGTCCTGTCTTCCATGTGTGTGCCAGGGGAGGTGGGTCCGTGCCTGTGTCCTGTCTTCCATGTGTGCCCAGGGGAGGTAGGTGTGCATGTGTCCTGTCTTCCATGTGTGTGCCAGGGGAGGTAGGTGTGCCTGTGTCCTGTCTTCCATGTGTGCCCAGGGGAGGTAGGTGTGCCTGTGTCCTGTCTTCCATGTGTGCCCAGGGGAGGTGGGTGTGGCTATGTCCTGTGTTCTGTCTCTGCTCATCTGTAAACTCTGTAAACGTCCATGCTTCCTCCCACCCCCTGAGACGGAGTCTCACCCTATCACCCACGCTGGAGTGCAAAGGTGAGATCTTGGCTCACCGCAACCTCCACCCCACCAGGTTCAAGCCATTCTCCTGCCTCAGCCTCCTGAGTAGCTGGGATTACAGGCGCCCACCACCACATCCAGCTAATTTTTTTGTATTTTTAGTGGAGACGGGGTTTTACCATGTTGGCCAGGCTGGTCTTGAACTCCTGACCTCGTGATCCACCCACCTCAGCCTCCCAAAGTGCTGGGATTACAGGTGTGAACCACTGCCCCCAGCCTGTATATGCCCTTTTGTGTGGTTTCCGTGTGCTGTTGTTTTTGC